TTTTTTTTCCTTTGATGACTATGAGAAACATCTTGAAAGTATTGTTCAAGATTACATCTAATTCCAGATGCCATATTGATATTTTTTGATAGTATCCATTCAATGAGGTTAAAAAAAAGAAAACTGAAATGACCCACCAACACTATAGAATACCTGTACAAACTGCGAATCATATAGATACTCATGATTACCATATATTTAATTGTAAAATACAAGGATATTTACCTTGATATTTATTTGTAATACATCTTATACAATTAAAAATCTAAGGAACCATAGATGCTCGTATGCAAAAAAAAAAAGGCAATACTTCAGCTGGAAACAATAAACACAGTTCAGAATGGCTATTTGTATAATATTGGTTTCAAACTCCATTTTGGTTACAGTTTTGGTGATGTCTGGGAATGTTCGTAGTTTTTACATAGACTAGATTTTGCCCATAGTCATTAAATCGACTTTTCCGAAAAGCTAGAATTACCTAAAAGAATTATTATAACCAAAAACTTTTCTTTCAACAGAATCTGTTGTTTCTGAGTAGTCAATTTTCTTTGAGAAGTTACCAAGTATCAATTTCTATGAAACAATAGTTGTGAATATGTCGTGTAATATCAGTCTAAAACTTGAAGACGTCAATATTGACAACGAGTCATGCCGAAAATCGTATTGATTCAAACATATTGTTAAGACTTTCTTTCAGTGTATCTTTTCAGTATGTATCTTTTAATAATTTGTCGTGTCGAAATGCACACACAAATCAAAAATAAGAACTTTCGCAAAAAAAAAAAGAAGCGCAACAAGAAAAACAAAAAAAAAAAAAGAAAAATTTTCATACACATGAAGCATTATTTAAATAAAGAACACGTATTATTTAATTTATCTTGAACAATATTGAAAAACAACTATACAGAATATTTAACTAATAATACAATCTTTTTTCCTTCGACCATCATTTGATTTCTTATCTTTTTTATTTGATGTTATTGATTTTTTCATTAATGCTGGATTGATTGTATTCGTTCCATGACTACCACATTCATCAACATAACTTATTTTTGTACCATAATTCATTGGTTTTCTAATACGATTTCCATGTATATCAAATTGATGATATATTGAATTAAAATCATCTTGTTCATCATCATCATCGGACGATGATGATGAAGATGATCGACGTATTGTTGAAATATTTTTTTGTTTTGATCTATAACTTATTGTTGGTGAACGTTTATGAATTTTATCTTTATTATCATTATCATCATCAACAAAACGAACATGATGTTGTTTTGTAAATCTTGATGAACCATTTAATGAACGTGAACGTGGAAATTGTGATGATATTGTTGAATAAGTTGTTGATTTCGGTCGGGATATAGGATACATAATTTCATTTGAATCGAAATTTTTTAAACGATTTGTTGGTTGTTCAACTAATGTTTCTTGTGATATTGTTGGATAAGTTTTTACTTTTGATTTTGATATTGATTTACGACTTAAATCAGGTAATGATGCACGTGATGATTTTGATGTTGAACAATTTGCAATTTCAAGTGTTGCACCATGACGATCAAGTTGTTCAAGATTTAAATCATTATAAAATTGTATTGGTTCACGTGAACGACTTCTTGTTATATTTAATTTTTGTTTTTCATGATGATCATTTGTTAATATTGAATTAGGAGATGATTGATATTGAAGAAATACTTGTGGTTGATGATTACGATTATAACGACGACTACCAGTACCATCAGATAAATAACCATTATTATAATCACGTTTATATTTTTGAACACCAGCACCATCTGATGCATAACCTGTTTGTTCTTTTGTTCTTCGATTTGATATAATTTGTTGTTGTTGATTTGTAGTTTTAGGACGTGCTGGAATAATTCTAACATGTTGATTTGTATGTGTATATGATGTTGGTATAATATCAGGACTTTGATGAAATCTATTTTGTTGAATTAATTTTGTATTTAAACGATTATTTCGTTGTAATGCACATTCATTTGAACAAAATAATGCACCATAACGTGGAAAAAAACCACGATTATGAAGTGGTATACGACATGTATAACAATAAAAACAAGCATCAGTTGCATGCCAATGTTGAGATTCATGTGCCATTTGTGGTTGATCAGTTTCAATACGTTCACCACATGTATCACAATATTCAGCATACATTGTTTCAAAACAATTTAAACAATATGGTTGAGTTTGACGCATAACATATCGTTCACCACCTAGACGTTTTTTACAATTTGAACAACAAAAATGATCCATATGCCAACTATAACCTTCGGCTTCAGTACATTCATCGCCAAAGATGATCTAAATAGATGAAGAGAAAAAAAAAAGAACTTCATTTGTTGTTGTAGTCAACCAAACACATAAAGATATCATCATCAACTACACTGACAAATGCTCAATTGTCTATTGATTCAATATTGTATGATAAACAATATGTCTATTTTGACATCTATGAATTAATTCATAGAGTAAGTATGGGTATGATATATCAACAGTATGAAACATATAACAAAGTTGTCATCACTCACTACCTTACGTCGAAGTGGTAATGGTCTTCTTTCCATATGTATATATATATATATGTAAACGTAAATGTATAGTCAATACAAGTAAACTAATAATTTAACATTGTTTTTTGTGCATATGTATATATATATGTTCAATGTCTACGTCTATTTTTGTCGTGCCTATATTATTATCTCTAATGATTATCAAATCAATTATAGTTTCTTTTGAACGACAACTGTTCTCGTCTTTTTTTCTTATTGATTAAATATCATGTTTGCAGCTTTTCTTTTCTTTTTTTTTTAAGTAATCATCAATACATACTTCATCACATGCTGTACATCGTGGTTTATATAATTCAGCATGATGTCGTCCACAATAAAGTTGACCATCTTTGTAAAAATATATTAAGTTAACAAGAAATTCTTTGCATTGTTTACAAGTAAAACATTGTGGATGCCAAAGACCAGTACGGCCGGCTCGTTCGGCAAATACACATATCGAACCTGAGTCAATCAATTTTTGACACTAAAAAAAAACAAAAAGAAAATTAATTACAATCTTTTTATATTCAACATATGTCTATTATTATAACTGTTGAGATATCTCTCTTTGATTTTACACTTAGTGCCATAGTAAATGGCAAATACACTTGTTGTTCACTACAATCAATGAACTTTACATTGTCTATACGTTCAAGACAATTAACTTGATGATGATGATTTTCTTCTATGATGCATATCTATTGGTCATAGTCATCTTTGTGCGATACCGCCACTCTGTAAGATTAACCGTTCTCGAAAGGTGATCGACATGAATATAATCTAATTTTTCAGTTAGTAAAAGTTGTTTAATCTGTATCGTCTCTAGATATTGAAATCATGTCTTCGATATGATTAATTTCTACGAAGATTTCACCTACGAATTCGTCAATCTTAAATGTCAAACTTTGAAATATGATATATATTTAGTAAAGTGCTGTGAATTCATTCTTGTGTCGTAACTTGAACATATATTAATCTTTCATCGTAGTAAAATGAAAAAGAAAAAGAATGATATATATATATATATTCTTAAACTTACTCCACGACAGGGTATAGGTGATTGTGTCAATGGTAATTGTCTAGCAGAACCACGACCAAGTGCATTATGTCGTTGTTGTTCATTGAATATTCTTAATTCATTTTTTTCATCTTCATTTAATGAACGACAATATTTTGGATCAGAATCATGTGGAGGTAGTTGTTCTTCAAGCATTTTCTATTACATAAAAAAAAAAACATCAAATATCCTATCAATAAATCTAATTACTGTTCGATATTTTTCACCAATCGAATTAAGAAATGGAACTTTATCTTCAGGAAAACATTTAAAAAATTGTCGAACCTATATTTAGAAAAGTTATTAAAATTGAACTATGATAAATTATATATATATATATATATGCACTCACTTGTTCTGCTTTAAGACTTGGTGGACACCAAGCATATTCTTCCAAAGCACATCCAGAATCATCATCACTATTTGATAGACGAGAATGTTGTTGAAGCATTTTTGTATTTATCAAGATCAATTAAATATCAATACAAATTCTAGAAAGAACACAACAGCGTAATTCATCATGTCTGTGTATGTCTCGTTCATATACGATTGAAAAAGAAGAAGAAAAGAAAAAGGAGGAAAAGAGATTTATCTCTCTCATCTTTCATAAGACATGAGAACAAAACGAACGATTATGTATGGACTACTAAATCATCAAGATAACATGTTGAACTTTTTTTTCTTTTTTTTTCGAGAAAAAAAAAAAGATGAAATAACAATTGTCATATTAAATAGGTGTTCGTCTAAGGTCAGAGATATACAAAGAGAAAATTTATTCTCTGACATATCAACGTCAAATTTCAAGAACAATTTGATGGTCATATTCTTTATTTATTTAACGTCAATATAAGAAAAAAAGAAATGACAACAGATGTTAAGAAATTTTGAATAATTGGATAATTGACAGGCTCTACATATTGAATGCAATTAGACAAAAATTGTTTAAATAGTTTTATCATAAATGCATTGTTGAAAATGTAAATATAAACAAACAGCTTTTCTCTTCTTTTGTCTTTCACCTATCTCTTATAACTTGTTTAAAGTTATGATGCAATCATGCGAAGATGAGCAGATGATCTCTCTAAGGTATTTTCATTAGTTGACAAGTTCTTGATGAATAAAATAAATATACAATAGAAAAAAGAAACCTGAAAATAAATACATGATGAAAGATACGTTAGTTTTTCTTGCACTATGTACTTACAATGAAAAATGTTATTAGTGATGATCAAAGATTTTTCTCTTACTAGTTAGAAGCAATGAATGAATGTACAGTATGCTGATTGAGAAACGAGCAAAAACAAGAAATGAGTAGCGGCAGTACAGAAAAAAAAGCATCTAATTAACAATAATCATACGGCATAGAAAACGCATATAAAAATATGCTTGCATGTATGTTCAGCTAGAAATCATACATAATGCAAACAGTTCATAATAGTTTTGCTTTTATTTTTAATCATTATTGATTAGAAAATTCGAAATCTATTCCTATTTCTTTTGTTTTTTCTTGATATTTTCTTTACCTTTATATGCTGTTGTCATGCTGTGAATATTGATTTTTGATTCCGTTTTCTTTGTCTTTTGTTTTAATAGAAATACATGTGTCGTTCTTTTTCCGGATTCGTTCGTATGCAACTGTGAATATATGGATAGGAAACGAACTGGACGAACAAAAACGAACAAAGACACAATGTTGCTCGTTCAGCGACACCCGATTCGATCGTGTTGGTGGGGAAGAAAAATATATACGATGGTTCGCCTGCTATAGCTACTATATAAACAAAACGATGCTGGTTTGTTCGTTCGTTCGTTCGTTTGTTTCTTTCTATTCTTTTGCACTGTGTTCGCGTCGTGGTGGCGAATATTCAAAATTTGCGCCTTCGCTCATCAAATGTGTATGGCGAAACAGAAAGAGAGAGAAAATGTACGAGAGCATAAGTAAAAGAAACGAAAAGAAGCGAACAAGAGAAAGATTGTTCAACGAGTTATTGCTTGTGCAAACAGCTGTCGAAAGGCGTAGCGCCATGCTTTGATGTTTCTCCCACTCGACATTCGAGCGTGAACATTTTTTTTCATCTCCACCCCTTCTGGTCATCAGATCTATTAAATGAATGAAGAAGTGTGACATATCGAAACAAAAACGCAAAACGGACACTTATTCGAGAAAAAGAAAAGCATTTGACTCTTTATAGGTTGAAAGAGTATGTCTTGTTTTTCTTTACTCAAGTATAGTATACTAGATCAAGAGGTCGGTTACGTGTCAATCTACATGTAGACATGTGTCAACAAGAACCTATTCTTGTATTTACATCTAAAAAAAAAAGTGTGAACTGGTATATAGAATGATTCTGATATGTACTGAATTCTTTTACCTTTTGGAAGAATTTATGATATGAAAAGAACAAGAAATATAGATAGATGTTCTTGAATATAATACTTTATGTTTGTCTTTAAAAAACAAAAAAAAACTTGATATCTAACTAGAAAAACAAAGAAGTTGAAGTATTTGTAATAAGAAATTCGATTGTGATCATACAATTAGCATTAACAAAACTAGTTAGTTGTTCTTCTTCATTGCTAATCATTTACATAAGCTTTCATGCATTTCAATGACTCGAAGCTAGATGCTTATCAAAAATATTCATTGATTGTATTCATCACCTTGATATTTGCTATTCATGTAAAATATACATAAAAGAGAAAATGCCTTTAAGAAGCCATATACAATCATCACAATCAGAGAGGCAAATATGGAACATTCACCGCTCTTACATTCAATCGAACATTAAATGCAATATTCTATAAAAAAAGAAGAAAGTTAGAAGCAACATTTGAGTTCATTGGAAACGTTTTTTTTTTATAATTCAAATGTAAAATAATCTGCAAGTTTTATTCAGTAATAAAACAGCGTTATAAGAATAAGATTTACATGGAGGCACATTGAATTGCAAAACTGTTCATATTTTTTTAGAAAGGTTTTCTTTTGTCAGTTGACTTTATCAAGAAAAAAGTATCAATTAAATTTCTGATTGGTAAAAAAAATACTATTAGAGCTGTAATCATGACACCATCGAGTGGATATTTTCGGTACATCAAAGTAGCCATTTTTCACTCATGTTGACTTGATCAAACTTGAGTCGATCATCATTGTATTTTATTAAATATATGATTCTCTATCTTTTAGTATAATTTGTAAAAGAAGTTTGACTGATTCGTTGAGATGAAAACATACGCAAATTTTGGAGAATATTTTTTTTAGATGTGTCTCATATGAATATGATAGGGGCATAAAGTCGCTGTTGACTAATTTTTGAATGAAAGGATATTCAATGTTAAAAATTTGGCTTTGCAGACGTCAGACATGGATGCATTAAATTTACAAAACAAAAATAAAATTTTCCTTTATTAACTATCTCGTATATTAGCATGATACTCGATAGCGTCATAATTTCTCTGTTTGTACTGTGAATTAATATCATATAGTGTCTGGTAAAGTATGAATGACTTCTGAGTTGTTTCAACAGCAAATAATTGTGTTTTCATATGCCAGACCTTCATTGGCTCACATCCATTGGGTACTTGACCAAAATCGAGCTCGAAAGTGTCAATACTGGATCTGAGATTTTAGGAAAGGAAAGCGATCATAGTCGTAAAATCTGTTTTGAAGTCCATTAGAGATCGTATAAGTTCGTGTCTGAACGTTTTCTGCTGACAAAAAAAAACGAAAAATATTTCGAAAAGAAGGGGCAGTTACCATCAGTGAAGAGTTCTTCGAGTTTGGATCTGAGACCAAGCCGATGGTCTCCATCCTGGTATTCTCCTCTGAATCCATCACTGAAATACTTGATGAATTTGGATTTGTGCGTCTTTCTTTCAAATCAAATATGACGAGATTCTCTACTTGTATTATTTGGTAACTATCATCTTTCATGATAATGTAAAAAGAATGAAACAACAACCAGAAGACATATTCGATTTCCAGACTATCAATAGTATAGGAGGCAAGAATCGAAAGCATTTGTAATGTTTGAGAGAATTTCTATAATGAATATATGATTAATACCTGTTATATTTCTTTAATATGAAATAAATTTTATATAACTTCAACGACAAAAAATGAATTTTATTTTATTTTAATATATAATACATAATATCTAAATATACGACACAATTGTGCTATATTTCATTTTTCTTTTTCAAACAAAACAACAGCAAACCACAAAAACATTTCTGACAAACGAACCGGAAGAAAAAACAAACCGTTGGTAATAGAAATAGCACAATGATAATTAATATTATAAAGTGGCAAAAAAAAAAAGAACAATCACAATCACAATCATTTTCCGTTATTTTTTCGATTTAATATTTTTTTTTTTTCTTTTTTGTATATAAAAAAAAATGTTTTTTTTTATATGTAATTTGGACCACTATTTTCTCGAGCATAATCCGAAACTGGATTTCCATCAATATCAACTGTTTCAATTTTTGTTCCACCACTTTTATAAACAATTTCACTTTTCGTTCGAATTTTAATTGTACCAACATGATCTTCAAGAAATTCATTTACTGCTTCCGATATTGTTCGATCAGGTCGACAATTCTAAATTAAATATTTAATTTAATTTATTGGAATTCTTTTTTTTTTATTATATTAATTGTTATAACCTTTGGTTTTTCACGATGTGTATTTACCGCTTCAGTTCCTAATGGTATACATTCCATTAAACAACCGTAAGCCATTGGTGTTAATTTAATCACTGTATGTAATGGTACTTTTGTATATGGAAGATCATCTTAAAAATAATTCAATAAAATAATATTAAATTTATATTATCAAAATACATACCAGCATCTTTATTAAGAAAATAAGCAAGAATACAGCGTGCAACAGCTTGATGACACACAACAAGAACATTTTCAGCTCGTTCTAATTCCATTATAACTGGTTCCAGACGTGCAACAAGATCTTGATAAGACTAAAATTAAACGAACATTATTCAAAATTATCTTATCATTTCTACAAGAAGAAATTAACATATTGTAATAAACTTTAGTCTCTATCTATTGTTAATATACTTCTATTAAGAAGCCTATACTTCACAAATATATTGCAAAAAATTTTCTTTTTATATTACCTCTCCACCAGGATAACGATAATAATATTTTTTTTGATCACGAGAAGCAAATTCTTCTGGAAAACGTTGTGCTATTTCTAAATATGTTAAACCTTCACATATACCCTAAATAAAGTAAATAGAAATTAAAACTTCTCTATATTAAAAAATATCTACCGCATTTATTTCATTCAAAGCTTTCCATTGTTCTTTTGGTGCATTTATTTTAGCAGCTGTTTGAATAGTTCGTTGCAGTTGACTTGTCCAAACAATTAAATCCGGAATATTTTCTATACAAAAAAATAAAACATAGAAAATGATATTCATCTTACTTCAAATTATTTACCATTAGTTACATATTCTGCAAGTGCATCAGCATACTAGAAAATACAAAATAGATATTAAAAAATAAAAATAAAAACTGTTTATGCAATTGTCGTAGAATCCAAAAATAATACACAATGTCCTTAATCATTTAGAAGTGCAATTAAGAAGTAGTTCATGTATTAAAACGAAACGTCATTTATACAAGGTTTGTGATGGTATCTAACTAGTATCTAACATGGTGTTTGAAGGAGAAAGGTAGCAGTCCAAATTTCACCCTTATACTTCAATACTTAAGTTTCACAAAAATAAATTAAATATGATTTATACCAATCTTCCATTAACTGATAATGGTGAATCACCACCAATACGTTGTTGAACATTTAATTCGGATTCACCGTGCTAAAAACAAATAAAAAAATTAATAATTTTACGATGAAAATCAAATTTTATTTTTATTTACTCGAGTTAAATAGATTGTTCTTGGTGTTACATGAATATTCATGAGAAAATAAACGACACGACTTTGAATATGACCTAGAACATAGAAATAGATTTCAATTTTTTTATTTAAAACTAATATTTACCTCCAATTTTATGAACAAGAAAACGTTCACCACAATTAAAAATTTTAATAAATGAAAATTGTTTTTCATCAGTTTTATCATCAATTGATTCATAACGTTTTTGATATTGTTCAATACGTAAAAGAAAATCTGCTACAGCTTCTTCTTGTGTAACATCTTTATAATCAGGACTTTTTAATTTTACTTCCTTAAAAATAAAATTGCGTTTTATTTATTCTCTTTTTTTTATTTTATATTTTTTTCTAAAACATACTTTAATATTCGATTCAATTATTTCCGATGAATCGCATATTGATTCAACAAAAAATACCCGAAAGCAATATGTTTGTGTACAGTATTCATGAATAGCTCGACGTCGTTCACGTGTAATATTTGTTGCATCAAAAATCGCTACTTCACCTTCTTCAGAAAGGTAAGTGCATGCATCTTCTAGTGCTTTTTGTGCACATTGACTAGAAGCATTAAAACATATCGTTTTCTTTCGTTTTTTTTTATTGCAAATGTATCAATAGAATATATACTTTAATACAGCTACGGCTTCAGCATTATCTGGATCAAAGAAATTTTTATCAGCGTGTATTTTAACTGCACGACGATATTCACCAACATTAAAAACTAAAAGAAAAATTTTCAATGAAACTTATTTTTCTATTACAAATTTTATTAGCGAAAGAAAGAGAATTCAAAAACTAAAACTAATCGATTTCATTTTAATGATTACATGTAAAAGAATTTAATCTTTACAGAATTTTCAAAAATAATGATTTAAAATAAATGTTGATCGATACATTATGAAGCTTATAGTCATTACTTCTTCTTTATTTTATCTATACAATGTGACAGATGCATTATCTAAATCTCTAACTAGATGCAAGGATGTCTACTTAACTATTGAGTTTTATTAAAATAATTCCGAAGTATTTTTGTTCATTTGTATTAATATCTTCAAGGATTCTCATGATTTTTGTAATTATTAAATAATATTGATGAATGTTAATATTTTTATTTCATCTCAAATTTAGTGTATGATCTTTAGATTTTATTTTATTGTATCATATTATTGAATATTTTATTGATTTACCTTTTGTTTTAATACCAATCCAATGTAAATAACGAGCCAATTTTCGTGATATATAGGTCTTTAGATAAATAAATATGAAAATAATTTTCATCATCAATTAAGAAATTTTACTTTTCCTCGAGCTGGTAATCCAGCCATAGCCTTGATTAAAAAAAAACAGAGTGTCAAATAAAGAAAAAAAAGCAATATAATAGGTAGTTTTAACATACAATAACAGTTGGTGTTCGAACAAGACGATCTCGACATGCTAAAACAATCAAAAAAATAAAAAATAAAATATTAAATTGTTTGTTTTTGAACTAAATACACTTGAAAAACTGTTATTTGTGGTAGAAATAGATAGTTAATATGTAACATATTTCTTCTCACCTTGATTCAGCTGTCGTCGAATGGTTAAAGGACTATTCGGATCAACAAATGAACGACATTTTCTCCAAGTATTTATATCAATTTTTGCTGTATTTTCTGTTGAATTCGTAGTAGTTGTTTCTTCTTGTTTATTATTATTGTCTGATGGTTTCAACATAGCTCACTTTTTTCAACGTATAAAAAACACACTTTGCAAACGTTCTATTTTTATTATATGAAAAGAAAAAGGTATCGCCAGATGAGATTGTCTCACTATTTAGTGATAATGTGGCAATAGTGGCGATCGGAAAAAGAAAAACAAGTGCCGTTTTTTCTTCTTTCGTTCTTGTTTTTTTTTCTCCTCGAACAAAGTGTAGCGTAAAAAAAAATTGACATTTTCATTTTTATCGTACGTGTCATGTACTAAAAGACTGCAGAATTTATTTTGAAATGAAATAAAACAGTGAGGGATCATGAATGTTTTATTTTTTGCCAAATATAGCCCTTACGATTGGGCATACAATTTTATGTTTGTCTTTTTTCCTTTTCCTAGGAAGAGTGAAGATTTAGTAAATAAACTGCTAAAATTCTATTGTTCGTATACTAAAATCAATGCGTTCTATGCTTTCTTTTTTTTTCTCATCTCTATAGTAACTGTAGTATGAAGTTTTAAAGAAGTGTCTAAACTATAAACTCAACAGAAAGAAACAATGAAAATATATATGTCTCCAACAATAGTCGTCATTTGGTTTTATTCACTGAATGAGTAAATATCATGATAGAAAAAGAAATACATGTGATACGCACAAGTGCACATGAATAACAACGTCATTAATTTGTATATTAATATTTCTTCTCTGTTTGTCAATTTTAGACACACGAAGATAAGAAAAATACAACAAATCATTCATTTGAAATACGACTTTGTATTTTAGTTATGCAAGATATTTGGTTAGCAATCGCACGATAAGCAAGAAAATATTACCTACCCATTTATTGTATTTAGCTGTCTCAAAACACAACATATATGAGCACAACTAGTGACAAAATTTTGGAGTATAAGACAAGAGATTAATAAAATATAGCCTTAATATATATGTAAATATAAAAATATTGGAAATAGCAGCGATCAAAAATCATTTATATAATTACCTTTTGAAGGTATGGGTACATTCTCAAAGGTTGCTGGTCGATTGACAAGCGATGATGATGATGATATGAGACCGCCATTTCTAAATCAAATACAAATCAAGTTTTTATTAATGTTCTTGAAGTTTCTTGAAATATTTTTCAAATGCCAGGGAGAGTTTCTTGGAATTCGATGAAAAGAAATATAGTTATCGGTTCTGTTTTCATTATTCATATCAAGAACTTACTAACCGATTTACCGTTGATTAGATAAGCTATATAAAAAAAAAATCAATTTCTATCATGACTCCGACGAAAGTCTACAAGATATAATCAATGACAACAAGCTATAGATTTCATTTCGATTTCATCAGATTTTAAATATCAGTTAACCATAATTTAAAAATAGGGATAAACTTTATAAGTACATTGTTTCACTTCTGCAATAATCGAAAGTATTTGTCGATCGTAATCTATTGAGATTATTACTATTGGAAAAGACGATTAAAACATAAATAGATGTTTCGATATTTACTGTATTCTTTATCATCAATCATAACTACTTTTCTAAAGTCTATTGGATAAACTTTGTAATCGAATACGAAACTTTTTCATTCTCAAAAATCTTTCGGTAACGTGTCCTAAGAAATTCATCTGTGAATAAGTCTCTATTTTCTAAATCATTTAAAAACATGCATTCAAAAACCAAAATAAAATTTGCGCATATGTCAGTATTTATTTCAAATAGATTTGTACAAAATTAAAATAATACAATTCAATATCTTAATTCAGTCTAATGCGAAATGACTGAGTAAGTCACAGTCTCTACAATATCCATGCATATGAGACAATATTCTGCTGATAACACACGACAAAACAGCAAATATCAATATAACATGCTGAATGAAAAAAAAAAGCCATAGCCATTATCACCTGGCAAAGGTTACCAAGCACAAATCTCGTGATATTAGAATGAAAAACATAATCATACACTTACAGCATCATTTTAATAACTTGCTGGTTTTCTTTTTGTATTTTGTTTGCTTAAGATAATAATCTGAATTGAAGAGAGTTAATCGATCGTATTAAAATATTGTTCGTTTTCTTTTTTTTTTTTGTCAAAAAGTTTGTTAAAAATAAAAAAAAAAAGAAACGTATACAAGTCGTAAGAGTATTTATTCTTTTTTTTTTTCGTGACGATTGACATGTATATAATTTATTTACATACGTTGGTGGTGTGGAAAGAAAAAGACAGAAAATAAATTCATATATATATGTATAATAAGACGCATTGAAAGAAAAAGCTACCGTACAATGAGAGAAGCAAAGATCACACTAGTAATATTGTTTTTTTGTTTTTAATTATTTTGTGCTTACGAATTTACGTTGGCACTGTTCTTGAATATATGTGTTTGTTAAGAAGAAAGAAAAAGAAAACATTCTCAAAGTTTTACATGCATTAAATGTGATTCACTACTAGTTCCAGATGGATTCTTTTTATACGATGTTGAATGTTCAATATCATCTGATGTTGATGAATTAAATTGTTCAACAAGATCTTTTGCTAATGCAAGAATTGCTTCATCATTACGATGAAATTTTGTTTGAATTAATTCCTTTTGTTGTACAACATCGTATGTCACCAAATATACTAAAAAGATAAATAGAGAAAATAAATATTTTCATGATATATGACATTTTTAAATTGGTTTTTTCTTTTTTGCTTATGAAGTAAAAATTAATTCGATCAGATTTTAATGTAGTTGTATAAGACTGTTAGTTTTTCATTGCCCTATCAAGAGGAAATATATATAAATGTGTACGTGTACTCAAAGCGATCGTTTGTAATTCTGACTTAATAGTAATATCGAAACCATCGGGACTAGAAAGCGGAAAAAAACAAAGCAACAACAGAAATAAAGTTTAATCTATGCTAAATCGATTGTGACTATATTTATTGAACTAAATTTCGATCATGAAAAAAAATATTCAAGAAGTATTTTTATAAAATACGATGATTAATTGTTGTTAAATGATGAAGGAGAAAAATTCGATCTTGTCTGTCTCATAGACTCAAGATAAAATTTTTTAGTCGAAATCTTAAGATTTATAAGGTTTTCACCAGTCGGCTACATTCGTTAATTAAATCATATGAATAGTTTTATTTGACCTTGAAGTCTTCAATAATTTAATTCAGCAACAACAAAAAAAATAGGAACTAAATTAATCGTGAACTTAAGATTGATAAGAATAAAAAATAACTATGAGATAATAGAGATGGGATTTGTTCGGCTGTATTTGAAATCAAAACGATCGAGTTTTTAAAAAGTTCAAATCGATCTCGGTTCAATCTGAAAACGATCATGTCTCTATGATATAAATACAACAAGATACATCTGTTCTATCTCAGCGTATGATAAAAGAAAAACCTTACGGATTAGAATATCGACCTATCATTTACTTATTCTCTAGTCATCTGACATATTAGCTTTTATTTAAAATAGAAAGTCATAAATCGATAAACATTCTATCTAAATCTTAGTGGCGTAACCAGAAAAAAGTCGTAGGAGAAACAAGAATGCCTTGATTTATGATATAAGGTATTGCCTAATGACAGATTCAATAGCTCGATATCTTCCCTACAAACTAATACTAGCTGCACTTCTAAACAGAAGATGAGTCTGAGATAGAGTTCTTACGCTCCATTGCTTGAACTCCCTATGCAAATCATGGCTGTGCAGTCAAGAATTTTCCGAAGGTGGTATACATCAACAGAAAAATAATTATTCGTTTAGAGAAGTTTTTCTTTTATTTATACCCTCTTCGAGGTGTTTCTTTAGTCAAGGAAGATTCATAGACACTCTCGTCCCTGACATACACTAACTAATCACACGAGCGAGTATATATCATAACGTAATCAACATGCTATCGAACGAATAATCAGAAACTAGCAGACGCTACTGACTTGTCCAAGGACATTTCATGGCTGTTGATGTCAAGGTTTGGATACAGTACCTTGTTGACGTGTGTCAAACAATCTAAACACTTAACTATGACAGTAAGTTGTAGGCGAGAAGAACTTAAACTCTTGCCTGTGTCTATAATGGGGCGAAGACCTTCTGATAATACTCCTACAAGAAGCTAAAGCTTCCTTCTAAACAACACTTATTCATTTTATTGAAGAAGCTCTAGTTTTAAACTAATACTTATGTTACTATTAAATCTTTTCTTTTAAAACAAAAGAAAAAAAACAAACTATGTTTTGTATTATGATTCATACGATAATATTTAAATTTCCAATCAAATTTGAAAATAGTCTTTTCATCTTACCAGGATCATAATGTAAATTATCATACAAAAGAAAAACTCGATAAGGAAAATGTCGATCTTCACCAAAATAATCAATACGTCCTCCACATTCGGTATTAATAACACATATTTCAGTTTCATATTCTTGTGTTAATATAGCTAATTCAATTCCACCACCCCATGAATCATCTTAAAAATTTAATATAAATATAGATTAATACAAAAAAACAAAAGAAATCATCTTCTTTTTTGTTTTTGTTCCTTACCTCTTCGAATCCATTTTGAATATTCCAAATTTGTTCGACCTAACATAGCTTCGGAATAAGTTATTTGATCTGATTCTATTTTTGATGCAACTAAATTACGTAAATATTTATTTGATGCTAAATCTAATTTTCCTGAATGTAAAACAAAATAAATCGATGAAAAAAGACAACTATTATCAGCTGGCACAGAAAATCTTATAAGTTGTCCAATAAGAGATTTTTTTGTTGATAAATTATTTGTTGTTTTTGCTTGAATTAAAGATGATGATGATGATGATGATGATGATGATTCTTCTGGATTAAGTGATGATGATGCGGTTGAATGAAAACAATCTGAATTATTTAATGAACTTGCGGTATGATCATCATTAGTTGATACATCATCATTATCTTCTTGTTGACAAAGTATTAATTCAGTTAAATCAATATAAAGTTCTTCATTACTTGATAAACCATATTTATCAAATGTTATTGATGCATCATAATGTGTATTATTATAATTATTATTTATCGGATAAAGTAATGAATAACCATTAGATCCATTTCGATAAATTGATATATGTAATAATTGATCAACTGTTAAGTGTAAATCATGTGCAATTTGTTTTAATAAATCAATAATACGATATCGAGCAGCAATTTGCATACGATGATATTTATTTGGTTTAAGACGAATAAGAATTCGTAATAAAGGACCAGCCATTTTTTCTTTTTAATTAAAGTTAATATTCAATTAAATAAATCTAAAATAAGATACGTGATGCTATGTCTTGTGATGCACGCGCTTATTTATATTAAAAGACGACGTTTGTTGTTTATTATTTGATCGTTCGATATATAGATTTTTATTAGTCATTAATAACCAATTAAATTTTATTTATTAACCACTGAAATGTTAAGTTAATTTATATATTATTGATATCTTTCTTAAACGTTTTAGTTTATTAATTTTTTAAATTATATTTTATAAACGACTACTTTGCTTCTTATACTATCCCATATGAAGAAGATGTCACTAAAACCAAGAAAAAATATATATCTTCTTTTGATTTAAAGATCCAAACTAGTGATGGCGCCACACATGGGCTTAGAAGTTTTATAGAACAAAAAAGGATTATCTTTCATTAATAGATTTTGTCGAATAGCTGACAAAATATTTAGTCCTAGTTTTACGCTTAGTAATACATTTACTAGCGAAAAATTTGATATCATATTGTAGTATTGTCAATACTCTAGGGACATCTTGCTCGATCTGCATGACGTCTAATATTCTTCCTCTTAAGGGGGAACCCCCCCTTCGAAAGTCGATTTTTCCTTGAAAAAGTCGATTTTTGGAAAAACACATCTTCTTGTAGCCCCAAGTGTCCTCTTTCAGAATATGTATAAACTATATAGGAATGGAACATATTTTGCCCAATTTTGGCAAGTTTACTGGACGCTATAATGGAAAATCGGCTGTCTTGTTGATTTTCTTTCTTAATTATCGGTAACTAATATCGTTCTACCTTCTTTATTAGCACTCTAAAACCATTACCGTATCGAGTAATCATGTTTTGGATGTTGCAGTCTTATAAGAAAGGTTCAAAATTAGGCTATTTTTCGAAAAGATGGCGCTACAGTGAACTTGGATTCAGAAATTAGCTTAAGAAATCGGCTTATTTTTTTCTTGAAAATACTACCAGCTGTAAGAACTTTTTATGCGCTTTTCAGTGATATATAATATGCTCGAATTCTCTCTACAAGAAGATCATCAACTACGTCGCAATGTTGTTATTCGTTTTTCTCAGCTTCACTTTTTTATCGTTTTCTGACCATTGCGGAACATTTTCCCAGTTCACCGCTTGATGTACTCTGCTGATTTTTATTTATTTAAAAGATGAGACTTTTTTCTAGAAATTGTCGGAACAGATTTTCAAAATATATCTCCATTGTTTAGATATTTGAAAATCTTTGAAAGTGCTCAAAGCAGTTTTTGCGATTTTCGATTTAAAATGATTACTACAATTGAATGAAAACGAATTTCAAAAAACTGTTCCTACAATTTCTAGATAAAAGATTTTTCTTCATTTTGAAACAAAGTTCAACATTTTTCATGCTACCGCGCATCGGAAAAATGTTCCGTGCCAAAACCCTCGTTTTCATGAGTAAATTGAGTATAGCTTCTTAATTATCAAAAATGATTGGTTGAAATTTTTATCAGATGCTAGTTACATTAGCTTTTCTATTTCCTGAAATTTTCATCGAAATCTGTTGTATCGTTTAGAAGATAGGTTTCGGAGGGGGGGTTCCCCCTTAAAGATTTATTAGTTTTCTTTTCTGTTAATTTTGCACACTTATATATTCGACAACTTTGTTGTTTATGAAAAAAAAGTATTAATTTTACGATCGAGATTGCAACAACAATTAATTTTTGCATACACTTTTAGAACACACGATCTGTTAGAATATGACATTTGACGTTAGTCTTATACGACTATCAAAGATATTATTCCCAATGAAAAAATTGTTAATTTCGGTTTCGATCTTGGCGAAATCAGAATCATATCTAGTTTCGAAAGAGAAAGATAGCATTTCAGAGATTTTTCATATTATAAAAGAGCATTCAAAAAATCCGTTTCAATATCGCGAAATTTCAACAAACAAATTGTGACCGTTTGTCGGTATCATACAGAGGCTATTGAAATACTTGCAATCGGAATCAAAAACAATTATTTTCTTCGAATATATATCATTTCCAGAAACATTAGGAATAATTAAAAGCGCTATAAAAAAACAAGGGCTTCAAAAATAACTTGCGAAAAGATGGTTCTCAAAGATGAACATAACCAAGAACTTTCTTTGAAAAATCAATTCTTGAAAGACGTTCAAGTAATCGTGAATAGTATTAGGTATTCGATTTAATTTTAATATTAACGATGAATGAGTAATAGTTAAATTTTGGATTAATCATAAAAATAATAAAATTTTCTTTTGTTAAATTATCTATTATGATGTTTTTAATAAAGTTGTCAGCTTCATTGCATAGAAATACATATGACTTATTCAGTCTACAAACAAGAAGCATTCTTGATGAATTTGAAAATTCGAAAAGATTTCCAATACGCTTCGACTTTTGAGAATTTAGGTCACTTTGGTGTAAAATTTTTGCAGTGCCAATAGAATAGACATGAATACTTTTGATTTTATTGTACAAATTTTTAAAAAAAAGTAAATCTCTTCAATTCAAAGTTTTATTGCTCGATACAGACTTTTCAATTCGTTTTTTAAATTACCAGTTTCGCAGTTTAACAAATATAATCATCGTAAGATATGTAATAGTTGACTTGAAATTTTCTGATAATATTCAAATATAAACCCAAAGTAGCGTTTAAATCAAGACTATATGCAGTTTACAGATTCAAATGAGCTATGAATCACTTGAAAAGGGTTTGTCTTCTTATTTTATTGTTGCGAAAGTATTACAATTTTACCATATTTTTTTAATGATTGCTGTAGTTTCTCTCACAAACTTCGATTTTCGAATTTTGACTGGACAGTTTGCAGAGAGACTTATTTTAATGAGAATAGTTTATAATGAAAGTTTCTGGTCTTTTGATTAGTTCCTTTTCTGAAATAAGAAAATTCGATTTCCTGATGTATTATATGAGCGATATGTAAAAGATACACTATCATAATAATTGTATTGTAGGGTAGAAACAACGACAAGATCTGAAGCATTCATAAAAGTCTATTCTTATTAAGGCCTATTTCTATGCAAAGTGTCAAGTCGTAATTCGAAAGTCAATTTTTCTAATTCTATAGAGAGAGAGAGACGACGATTTCTTTTTAAAAAATACTATAAAATTGCAGTGTCTTCGCAGTAAACCTATTTTTAGTTATATACATATATCAGTCATTTCAGACAAAATGGGACATATTCACGTTTTATTTGATGTTGTTTCTGAAATTTTTAGCAAGACCGAACTTTAAAAACCTTCATCTTAACAACTAATTGTCTAGAAACTCCTAAGAAAGAGTTGTACCATTTGGAATCGAATTTGAACTTCCCATATGGCTATAAAAGCATTTTTTCGTACTACCTTATGTTGCGAACGAAAATTCAATTGATTTTTTTTTAATTATTTAGGCATAATCAGAAAAGTTTTGTATAAAGAATTCGTAGCCTCAAGAGTGATCTACAAAATGTAATATTTAACCACGCTAAGTTTTTACTAATAACTACTCTGAACAAAGGTTTCTAATACTAAGTTTTTAGAGTATTTTCAGTAAGGTAAAATACACGTAACATAAAAGTTACTTCCAGAAAAGTTCATTATTTTAAGACACATACATCAATGTTGCAACCAGTAAGGATTCCTTTACAGCCGGCCTAGACAATCTTTTTTCACGTATCGAACCATTTTTACTGATATCAATGGCTATTTCTATCACATCAGTTCGATATCCAGTTGTATTATCGAAACAAAATGGAATCACTGATCATCATTGTGATTTATTATAGTGTTATCTTCATTACGTATTATGTATATTATATCTTTCACAGAAATTAAAGAAACAAAGAAATGAATCTTTTGTGAGATGCAGAGTATATCTGCAGTCGATTCAGAATTAGTAGTTTTATGAAAATTTCTGTTCATCAATCAGTGCCAAAAAAGAGAAAACTTATAAAAATAAATAGTGAAGAAAAAGCTTTCAGTGCAATTCCTACGAAATTAAGATCTTAAACGCGATAAAACTATTATTACTATTGTGAATAGTCCAAGGGAAAAAAGTGAAAACATCGTACCCTAGCATTTACAAAGATATATCAAAGCTATCCTCTACCGATTCTTGGTTATTTCAAGATATCACAGGCATATTAGTTTGAGTTCATTTTGTATTAGCCTATCTGACACTGCAGGCATTACATAAAATGAACTCAGACTAAAATGATTCCCTACATATGTTGATACTAGACTTGACATAATTAAGAACTTATAAACGACAGTTTTAACATATTTTTTGAAGTATAGTCAGATACGATGTTTTGACTTTTTTCCTCTTTTGGAGAAATCTCATCGTCTATATGACAGATCATGTCGGAAAATTCGCTAGACATATCAAAATCTCTGTCAAAGTATGTCAGCAGATTAAAACAAGATTCACATGTCGGTTACAATCTTTGAAGCAAATTAGAGAAAATAGAATCAATATTGGCAATGTATTTCAATGCTTTTTGCTAATCATGTTTCAAAAAAACACGATAATAAAGAAACAAAAGTCTTACATAATTTCTGTAATGAATCAGAGATAGATATGAATAATCTAAGTGTTGACTTGACTTTTTTATAGGATAAGAAAAGACAAAAATGAGTCATGGTTATCTGACCAGTTATAATCCTGACACATGTTTTAATTTTTTTAAATTACATTGTTAACAAATGATTTTACCAATATATCACAACAAGTCTGATAAATACTTTGATATTATTTTCGTAGCATGAAAAAATTCGAGAAGATAACGCATCCAAAATAATACAAGATATAGCAAAAACACGAAGATAGATGTTATTATTTCTTATTTCTTTACAATGTGCATAAGCAATCATCATACATGTGAAAACAGTGAAAATAATACTTATACGCACAAACAAAAACAAAAAAAAGAAAAGAAACGAAAGGCTTTTTTTATAAAAAAAATATAAACTTATACATCGATTCTTG